GGCATTTCATTCAGTCAGCTTGGCTTTTTCTATAGTTTGCCTTTTTGTCTACCTTCTTTAGTCAATGTCGCATTGGTCCATTCCGCTTAGCAGGCGTCTATGTTCATCGACTGGCATTCCGTTAGATTGACTTAGGCTTAGAACTCTGGCTCTACAAGAAAGGGTGGCTATCCACTCCTCGATGAGGGTGACAATAACAACACTTGAATAGAACCTCTCTTCAATTGATTTAAGAAAGCTAATTAGCCAGAACTAGATTGAAACTAGAAGCTACCCCCCGGGAAGGGATCCAAAAAGACTCATACGCTTGATGAACAGACAAACCCTCTCTCAGACGGACGGACCATAATTTGGGATTCCCATAAGACAGGGACTAATCCAAATCTGTTGCCTCACTCTTTGTTGTTGCATCGAGCAGATCATTGCTAGTGGTGCCATAATACTTTTTCTTGCCTATGGGCTTTACACTAATCTAGTTGTGTCAGACGGGTAATCGAAGAGGTGAAGCAATTCTGATTCGATAGGTTTGAGAAGCAATAAGTATGGGCGTAGATCAGTTTAGAGAGTTAAGGCGGCAAAGTCATGAACCCCGGGGAATCGGTATGGAAATTTGATTGAAGGCGGGGCCTAACTAAAGCTCATTCGAAAGACCTATACCTGATTAGGAGTAATGCTTACCAATGGAAGGAGAAATCAGGCATACTAATAGGGAGAAAGGGCGCTAGCCAAAATGAGACTCTTACGCAACTTTAGAGACTTATATCCCTTGGAATTTTGCTGGATGCCTCTATGTCGGAGTTCGAACATTCGATGAGGGCATTCGTTCGAGTAGCTAAATGCCTGAGTCAGGTCTTCGGCAATGAGTTTTCTCTCCAGCTCCGTACAAAAGGTCAGTCCCAGCGCTAATTCACTACAAGAGAAGAGGATAAGCCTTCGCGTACCTAGCCCCACATGGAAAGTAAGGGAAGCAAAAGGAGGGCTAAGAAGGGGATGGGGAAGAACCATTCTTCTTAGTGAGTCTCTTTCTTGAGTCTATTTTCTTCCACATTCTGAAGATAGCAGTTCGAAGACGTGAAAATCATCGGTGGAAGCCTGAATCTCATCTATGAAGAAAGCTAGTGGAAGCGCCATCTCTTTGAATTGATTAGAAAGTCTGGGATCTCCTTTTTCAGTCAAGCGCAGGAGAAGCCTTAGTGAAGTGAGCGGATTGGGATAGGATCAAAGAACTGAAAACCTTTCCATTTCCAATACCTACAGCAGCTCTCGCTAAAGTAATTGTTTCAACTCCGGCACCCGATTTCTGGGTCAGTTCTTCCCTTCCGCTCCGGATTCTTGCTTTGTTAGTTCTTATCTTTACGACAAGACGTTGAAGTTAGCATTAGCTGCGGCACTAGTAAGAAAGCTAGAGAGAAAGATACCTCCTAGAAAGAATGCTACAGCCCTTGCGCCCTTCAACTCAGGGAGTGCGTCGATCGCTATCCCTTTCTCCTCGGCAAGCGCTTCAGTAAGTTCCGCCTCGATCATAGCTCTCTGCTCCGAGCTATGCGCCATCTGCACTTCCCGTCGGTGTACACCGAGATATTTGAAACTTGCTGAACAATCATCCCCATTTCTCTGAGACCCTCTACAAGATCCGGGGCAGACGATGTTTCACTTAGAATCTTAGGCCTTTCTTTGTTTTCGTTCCGCTTTCGGGTTACCTTGCTAATAAGAAGAAGAAGGGCACTAGCTAAACAACTGAGAGAGAGAGAGCTGACCTACTTCTCTTATGATATTTATGAAGAGAAAAGCTATCGTGCACTGAATAGAGTTAGCCGAAGAGAAGATCCTTTAGGCAAGGAGATAGGGAATGGTCAAAGTCCTTTCTTTCCTTGCTTGTGACCTGCTTTCCTAGTAGGAATTCTACTGTCTTGGTCTTTTCTATCTTTGTTGAAGGAAAAGAATCATCCCCTGCTCTAGAGGAAGGTGCGGGCAAGGCGGCAGTACGTTACCAATCCTATCTCGGTCCAGTCCTAATTAGCCTCTTCCTCTCTCTTGTGCATGCAAGGAAGGGGGGATAGAACATATAGACAGAAAGGACTTTCCCAGTACCGCCCCTAGGGAAAAAAGGACCCCGAAAAAGACTCTTTCCAAGAAACTGTCTGGCTTACTTCTTGCTTAGCGTGGAAGCAGAGCCAGAAAGACGAGGGAAGACTTATAGCAGACAAGGAGCGCATATGCATCCTATAAGGAAATGGACAAGCATTTAGTAATCAAAAGGAAATCAATCCACCAAAAGGTCAGTTTGAATAAAGAGAATAGAGTACTAGAAATCCCTCGAAGGGAAGGCAAAAAATAATAGATTAGATATTCGAAGGGAATCCTAGTACTTTTAGTAGAATATACTTTTAGATCGTTAGCCCCTTAGAGCCTTAGGGAGGTACAGTAGAACCAATAAAACCGCTGTACAGTGGGACTTCAATTTGAAGGGATGTAATAGAAACCGCAGGTAAGGCAACTGGCAAGAACCGTATTCCATCGTATGGATCAACATGGAAGCACTTAGGGCCAGCTTACGGGGAAGAACTCACTTGCTCACTAGATTCAAAAAGAGAATGCTTTATCCCTAGCTTGCTTTCCTCCTAAAATAAAAGAAAGAGAACTAAAAGACTAGCCTCTAGCTTGCTTACCTTCTTGAAAAAGGGATTGCTAGAAAAAGATTAGCCAATGGACTGGCTTTCAAATGAACTTGCTAAAAAGAATCCTGCTTTTGCTTGTTCTTTGCAGGTACCACCTGAAGAAAAAGCAGGGCCCGAGTGGAACTGAACGCGCTCTATCTTCGCTAGCCCAGGAGGACTGAGTCCTTCCACCATGTGATTAGGTTGTCCAAGCCCTTCCTTTATCCCTTCATGCCTTAAACATGCCCTTCTCATCCAAATCTTCCATGCATGTCAGTCTAATCTAACCTTATAGGTTTATCACAGTAAGCAAGAGCAGTCTTAGGAAGCCCAAGTCCGAGTGCTTTGAGTCAATTCACGCCCTATAGGCAAGGGAATATGTTGAAATTTCTTCTTCCCCCACCACGGATGAAAGCGTGACAAACTGAACAGATAGCGAATTCTGTGACTCATTTCTCACCGCGTCTACATCTATCCCCATGGCTTTGAGGCTTGACAGACCTTCCCCCATACTAAATAGATAGGAACATTTGTCTTCGCCTTAACTGCGAAAAAGCGAACCCTATCTTGTCGAGAAGCAATCCTATTGGTTCGCTCGTAGGCAGCTGATTGCCTTTTTCGTTACGCCGACAAGCTAATAGCTCGGGAGGGCGGGGAGTCCACATACGTTCATTAGTAGGGCAGGGCTTCACGTCACGCATGCTTATTTAAGCTAATTTGCTGAGCCTTTCACACTAAGCTCTTCGATCCTGCCCTGCTCCTCTCTAGGCATTGAGCGATAGCTCATGACTGGTATATGGATCTCCATATGTATTGGACCGATCCCATATCCGAAAATTGAAGGACCTGGCCGAGGCAATACAGATATAACCAGGTGCTCCTGATCGAACAGAGCTCCAAAACATGGAAAAGAAAAGTACTTAAAGCTTTAAGGAGTATGCCCAAAGGTGGAGAGATAAAGCGGCACAGGGCCAGCCCCCTTTCCGAAAAAGAGATTCTTTCTACTTTCCTAAATACACTTCGACCTCCATACTATGACCGGATGTTGGGAAATGCCTCAACTAACTTCGAGGATGTTGTAGTAATCGGAGAACGAATCGAACAAGGAATCAAGAGTTTAAGGGTTTCCGACCGCCCTTCCGAATAACTTTGGTGTCATGGCTGACTGGATACAATTGCTTCTTAAATTTAACTCTTGAAAGGCATCCCAAGTATCGATAGTGAGCCTACCTTAGTAAGAAAAAGGTATACCTTAGCGCTTACATGTCTCGATTGAAGCCAATTCAAGTTTTTCCTATTCAATCTTTATTATAGAAATAGCACTTCCTGTATTGGGAACTTGAGATTTTTGAACAGTAGACTACGGAAGGTATGATATTACTCCTACTTCGAAAAGTTAAGCTCGATGGCTATAGGTTAACCTGGCTGGCAGAGAACTTCCCTTGGCTTGACTTATCTAGTTTACTTTTTCTTGTTGAACTAGCTTAGTAGGCCCTTACCTTTTACAGGTAGTACTGCTAGCCCTTAACTCCCAGACCTGAGAGCTCACCCGCTTCCTTACTCACTGGCACTGAAATTAGATCCCTTTCTTACCTTGCTGTTCTAGAAATTGAAGAGGCAGCTACTGGTTTGATAAGGAAACTTATACTATAACATATATATCTATATGTATTCTGTTTTGATTCCCCTTATAGAGCCTTCTTGGTTGGAAAGAAGGTCCTTCTACGCCCGTCAGAAACGACAATGTATGTATGTGGCACGAAACCCAGAAACACGACGGCAAGGGAATGCCGCTACACTAACAGGAGGTAGCCAGGACTCGCAGACGAATCTCTTAAGCAATATCTTATACAGGACTAAACTAGATCAATTACCCTACGACTGCTGGCTTTCACTGTTTTGATGTACTTGAAGAGGATTGTCAAAGGCTTTCTTCTTTACTGGCTGTAACGTAACAAGCGAAGCACTTACACTCGCTCGATTCCTTCATTTAGAACTTAAACTGGCTCTAGAGGAGTAGGACTTGAACCCTCAATGGCTGGACCGACAGCAAAGGAACCTGGTCACTCGCTCGAACCCATATTCCATAGAGTACTTCACTTCCTCTCTCCCTTACACCCTGACACTAGATAGAGGGCTGTAACGTACTCATACCTTCAAAAGGCGGAAAAGAAAGCAGAAGGAATGGATAGGTATGTAAAAAACCTCCTATATCCATGGAACCTTTTACTCCCTAGGTGCTTCTTTTCCTTAGAGTGAGGAGTGTCCGGGAGACAGCGCCCTAACCCTAGAATTGGATTATTATCCTTAGTTGAAAGCAGAAAAGATAGAAAAGGCAAAAATCTCAATTCTAAGCAGTTTCCGACGAAAAGCGTAGGTATCTCTTTTTTTGGTTTAAGTGTTCTAAGAAGTGAAAACCCGGAGCGCTATAAGCTAGAGTCAAGACTTTCGAAAGTAAGACAACGCCAGCGGAGAATAATAAAAGAAATGAGCTTGCTTGCAACTAGTTTAGCCAGAAAAGTGGAGACAGCCTAGCCTAAAGAATGGAAACCGATACATGGCTTACATACCCGGCTCAACATTCTTGGAAAACAATCGAATCGAGGGTTCGGAGGAGAATTGGCCATTCAATCTTGTAAACTAATCGAGACCGAAATTGGAAAAAGAGATACGAACGGAGAGAAATAACCAATCGATGAAAGAACATGAAACAATTCTGTTTCAATAGAGGTACGAGAAAGCGTTGGGGGCAATAAAGTAGGTGAAGTGGTTGGATTTTGCGAGCTGTTCCAACCACTACTGGATGTGATTCCAAGAGCCGAACGAGAATGAATACCACACATAAGAGTCAAAACCAGGCTCCCTAATGAAATGTTTAACCAATCCATTCCGGATCGACCGAATTGGTACGGAAGTTGTAACATGGGAAAACCACGGAAAACACAACTTATTTGAATAACCCGGTGACCTACCAATTGTAGAAGTAGGATCTTTGGCAAGCAATAAGCACTTAAATAATACAATTCGAGTGTACCATCTTCTTTCTCATTTCGAAAAAAAGGTGCGGGAGGAAAAGGAAACAACGAAGGGATCCGAATCAGACCTAAATGGGAATGACATGAAAAGTCTTTTTCAAAACCTAGCATTAAGGGCGTTACGACGATATACGAGAGGAATGAAGAAAAACTCGTGATTGGTGTGGAGGGGAAGATCTGTTTATGATATAGTTCAAGAAAGAGTCGTCTCATTTCCTTACTTCTTCGTTCTTTCTAATTCATTCACTTCAAGGCTGGTTCTGAACGCCGCGTAACATCATCTTCAACCAACCTACACCGTACGTACCTTTCGGTGCGGTCACTAAAGAATTGCTTATACACTAAACAGCTGCTTATATACGGCTTACTAAAAGACTTATTTTCATTCATTAGGCCAGCGTTAAACTAAGAAAGAGAGATGTGCCTAAGGCGGCATGCAAGCAAACTGTGCACGCTAAGAAAAAAGGAGAGATGTTCGCAATTACTACCACAAGAAAGCCGCCCCCCCATACCCTATCTCTAAAGAGGCCCGAAACTTCGCCCCCCTTTAAGATTGATTCCTTTTAGCTTCTAGGCGATAAGGTTGGCACAAAAGCAGTGAATTCTCTTGCTGCGCTTTCCACCCATTCAATCTCTGCTGCACTTTATCCACTATGAACCTGAACGTGCTCTTGTTAAGCCTCTCATGGAGAAGAGGCATTCCCCAGTAACGGCCCAGGTTGTTAGTCAATTAAAATCCGAAACCAGTACTCAACCGATTGGCTAAGGAAGCGGGAACATTACGAGAGCAGAAGATTCTGGTCTTAGAATCACTCACTTTCTGCCCGGAACTAGCGCAAAAAGCAGCAATGCACTCCGAGATAATCTGCACTTGGTCTAACCTTGCCTCCGCAAAGAGAATAAGGTCGTCGGCGAAGAAGAGGGGAGATAACTTCGGCCCATCTCTTCCCATATGAATTGGCTTCCAGGCCCCAAAATCCACTGCCTTGCGCCTGTGAGAGTCTCTCCATGCACAAAACAAATATATACGGGGAGAGGGGGTCGAATGCCATTTGTACCTCGGAACTAGCCATGCGGAGATCCATTGAGGAGGATAGGGTAGGAGATAGACTGTAGCTTGAGCCGGCGGCAAGCAAGAAAGTCTTCAAATCAAAAGGGAGGGAGTTCTCCGGAAAAGCAGACTGTGGTAAATTTTTGAACGATGCAGTACAGAAAATGGGAAGTCAAAGTTTAAGAGACCAAAAAAGACCCAGTTGAAGAAAGCTTTTGATTCACCCGCTTGTTCAAACTTCCGTGAGGCCAAGTTTGACTCGAGTGAAGTTGGCCCAGTGTAAGTGGCGGTAAAGCCAAATGAAGAGAAGACTGAGGGAAGTTCTGATTCGAAAGGGAAAATCGAAGTAAAGTTACATGAATTGAAATCCAACCCTTATAAATTCAATTTGAAAGCTTTTACAGCTCCAAGCGCTCCTTGAAAAGTTGCCAACTGGTGTTGGCTTGAGCTAGTCTCTCTTTTCCCCCATACCAGTTGTCATCTGCTCGTTTGATCTCCTCTTCCAAGTTTTTCCATTCTGCCAGATCCTTAGATACCTTTTCATTGGTCTTTTCAAATTGAGAAGCAACTGAGTTTTTGTGATCAAGCAGCTCCTCTTTTTTGGCAATCAAACGCTGGATCTCAACCTCCAGTTTCTCTTCTTCCTCTGAAAGTCTTGAGAATTTAGCGTCTAACGAACTGAGCTCTTTGTGTCCTTGAACCAGACTGGCATCAAGACTAGTTGCCTTTCAAAGGCATTTTGACATTATCCCATTTCCACGTGAAAGCAGATAAGAAGTCTCGTCTTCATCCTATTGTGATGTCATCTCTATTAAATCTGCTATTCCTATCATGCTATTGCTTCTGTCTTCCAACCATCTAAGACCGGATTCAATAGCAGCTCCTTCTCTCTTGTTTTCATCCGATCTATCATCTTGGAGCAGGTATAATAGTCTAAGAATAAGACATGGATAGTGCGGTAGTGGGATGAGAGAAGTCTTATACCCTTTGTTGAATAAGGCAATAAGAAGGAAGGGATTTATCAAGCAAGATAGCATTCATCAAGCCAGAATGCCTATGGAATCGGCTGTTGTGAACCGAACTCTTTCAATACATATGGAATCTACTTTGTGTTCCGTGACTTCCTTCTCTCTTCCTTCCCCCTCCGCCTCTAGAATTATACGTACCGAATGCATGATTTTCGATGAGAGAAGGAGATTTCACCTTTGAAAGCGTTCTATGGTTGTTAGTAACTAGGGCGTACGCGAAAACTAAAATCTACGATCGTTTGGCTAGATCAATTTTTCGTTTTATGAACGCTTTAGTTTAGTGTCACCATACTTCAAGCATCGAAAAGTCGGTTTTTCAGCATTCAAATAAGCCAATTTAATTAATCGACCTTGAATGTGACGTGGATACGGTTGAGATTCATTCATAGGCTTTAGGTGATTAAGCTGGTCAAGTTGAAGGGGAATAACTTCCCAGTCCGTCCTTGGGACGGAAGCCTCCGCATCACACGTCCCGGCGATAGGCAGAGACCAAGATTTGACCATTTAAGCGCTAGTTCTGCTTTCACATTAAGATTATAGAAAGAGGGTTACTACATTGATAGAGGCATACAAGTATTCAGTTATCAATAGCCCACGGAGTGGTAATTCAGTGATCTTTAACCAATTGCGATTCCGCGCATCTGATCTTTCCTGGTATTAAAATGGTTTATTGGCGGGCTGAGACTACACAGGGGTAGAGGCCCATGCCAGTCTTTTTAGAGATCCGACTCGTCACCCGGTTAGGTTAAAAGCCGGTAGGAGAGTAGGGGGCTTTAGTTATAAGTAGGAGACGATCAGACTTATCTTATATAGGCTATTGCGCTTAACGAGTTAGAAGATGTTGCCAATGACCGGGTCTCGAGAAGAGTTGGATGCGAACCCCTCCCATGAGAAAGAAGCCTAGCAGCCCCGCCGAAACCTCTTATTCCGGTCCTTAGGCTAACTACGACTAGTCAGGAATTGCGTAAGAGAAGAAAGGTAACCGGATGCCTGGGGCTTAGGACAATGAGCGTCCGGAGTCTCTTAAGGAAGGATAAAACCAAAATTAGAATGAATCTTCTGGTCTATCAGAAAAAAGTCCAGCTAGGGAAGGAGCGTAAAGCAGCTCGATTTATAAGGTTCAATGCTCTTTTTGCTGGTATGGTAGAGCCATAAAACCTTTCTCCGAGCTCCCACTTTCGGGGGCCAGCGCTTCTCTCCAAGTCAAGTTTACGATCAGATTGAACTGGCTTGGTCTTTCCCCCGAGGAAGAACCTCCTCAGCCTTAGATTCGCTTGGAAGAAAGTAACCTACATGACCAACAACTCCAGTCACCGAGGCACCAGGAAACCTTGATTCGTACCCCCACTTGAGAAGTCCTCCTGTCCGATATCCTGCATTCTTCTCTGGGCGAGGGCTTTCAGTATGCCCGGCTAACTTCATGAAAGAATTTGAGTAATAAAGAGTCGCTACCCGCCTTTTAGAAGAGGGGAAGCTGCAGCCTTGATCTTAATGAACCCGGATCTATTACCTGGACCACGCTTCCTTCTTTGATTGCTCGCTCATCGGTCAAACATGGATTTTTGTTGCTTCCCGAGGGTTGGAGAAAGGGATCAGAAGAGTAGCTCTCGCACCTCGCTACACAAGTCGTGTCACTTTCTGATCCGCCCTAGTAGCAAGCCTCCACTTCCTGATCTACCGATCAGCCTGTCGATTATCTATTTCTTTTTTTGTATGCCGCTCTGCGAGCTACTATGGCAGGGCGTAAAGGCCCCGATTGTAAACCATCCGATCTAACTTCTTTCTATTACATATTTTATTTCCATTTTCACATTTTGGAGTAAGAAAAGAATGAATCCACTAGCTCTTAAACACTCAGTTACGATCAACCATTCTAGGAGAAGACCAGCATCCGAAGCATGCGAATCTACGCAAGCCATTGTCCATTTCAACCATTCCTCTTCTCCGTATCATTTCCTAGAGCTAGCCATTGATGGGGCTAAAAGAACTTGGGATCGTCGAGAAGAGGGGCAGCAGTTAACGGTAGCCCCAATTGATTGATCGGCCGTTGGTATACAAGCTGACATGCCTAGGCGCACTACGGACCCTTGCTTTTTCCAATTATGAAAGAGCTCATTCAAAGTCCCGCAGCACTTCCATATGAAGAAAGATCTGGTTATGTTATGTCGAATGCTCACTCCTTCAGGTCTTGGCCGTTGTTTGCCCTATCACATCACGTGTTGGTGTGGCACTGCGCAGAACAAGTGTATCCCGGTAGAAAGATAGAAATTGTGTTCGAACACCGTACCCTAGGTAGTAGGTCCTATCTTCTATATATACTAAATGTCCATACCTCCCCTTCTCTTCAAAGATAGGGAACTCCCATTTGTACGTAAAAACGTACCTTTCCATTTCAACGAAATCTTTTAATTTGCTTCTGGCACCCTTTCTTCTCTTAACGTCTTTGGCTCTAGCTCTTAGGGTCCATCTGCTCTATTGCTATAGCTTTTTGGGAAAAAACTCTTGCCAAAGAATAAAGTATAGCTTAGAGGCCCTTCGCCCTATTTTTCTAGCTAGCTTTAGGCCCCCTCGTCCACAAGGATAGAAGAGAGAAAGAGCAGCCGAACTTCGTGCGTACGATTCTTTTATTCAATAAGGATTTCCGCAGCTTCAAATATGGAGCTACGTGATCCTACCTATTATGTTATGATTACATTATTAGGATATCGGTTTGGGATTCAGATGTTTATTCTCAGCTCTGTGGTGCTAAATCTCACTTTTCTACTCTATTGAACAGGAGGGAAGCTATGTTGAGGGAGAAGGCAAGGGTCAAATGGTTATCTGATGGTGACAGAAATTCGAGATTCGCCGGGAGGAGAGCCGGTAAAACAATACTGAAGCTTCAAGACAGTGATGGCTTAGAATAGAAGTCGGGGGAGGCAGAGATCAAAGCTTTTGCAGTGGACTATTGAACAGGTATTCTTGGTAAGGATAGTCATGGGTCAAGGGCTTTCCCTCCAACTTTCAACAGGAAGCTATCTACTGAACAAAGAACTGAGCTGGATAGAAGGATCACAGCATAGGAGATTCATGATGCTGTTAAGTCTTTCAATGCTGACAAGGCCCCTGGGCCTGATGGTGGGAAATTCTTTAACCACTGCAGGCATATTATAGGACCTGATGTCACTAGGGCAGCTTTGAATTTCTTCAAGACTGGAAAAGGAAGAGTTTTCATTTTCGTACAAAAGTAAGTTGCTGGTGCCAAATCTGTCTGCTCTCGTGATCGTGCTACTGCGCTTTCCTGACTCGGGACTTTATTATACCTTACCTTTACCATCGTCGGAGCCGGGATTCTATTGTAGACGTGGGTCCGCTACTAGATCTTAGAACTTGATTGGCTTGACGCTCCTAGTCCTAGTTGGAACTCGGACCCCCCTTCGCTATCTATCGTCAGTGATTGTCCCAGGCGAGGAACTGCTTGTCTCAGACCTTATTCTCGCGCAGCAAGACCTTTTGTGAGTGCCCTTCCTTTTTGGCTGGAGGCTCATCTCACGATGTTCGTATTGTCTGATTGTTTTTTTCTTGGTTGGTACGCTTCCCCTTGTGAAATAAGTCCTCTATCTACACACTAACCTGGGAGACTTGAACCCTGTTTTTACCTTGATGCTTCTAAGCCGCTTTGAATTGGCCTGTTCCCTTTTATGAATACAAACTTCAATCCATTCAGCCGTCACGTCAGCCGAGAAGACAGACTTGCTGGTATCGTCAAATTTAAATAGAGTATCACAGGCTTATTCTGCTCTAGTGGCGGGTTTCTCTTTTCATGAAGTAGCCCCTCATTCACCTCGTAACTGAGTCAAGCGACTTCTCCTTTTCTGTCATGAAGAGGAAGTTCAAGGATATGCGGCTGGGACAAATCCATATCAAGAACTTTTTTCTATAATCGAATTTGATCCCGACCCGAAGACCTCAGAAATTAAATTCTATGCCGATTTCATTTCATTCCAGTAGTAGGAGTTCTTTGTTTTTTTTGGTTGGTTGGAGTGCTTTAATAAGACTTGACCGAGTAGATCATGTTGGGATCTTCACCACAGTCGGAGTCATAAGGAAAGTACCAGTTGGACAGGGAGCACCCACCGGTAAAGCCATTTCTTGATCTTTCACAGCAGGCAATGTCAGACGGTAGTTCAAAAAGAGCTTAAGAAGGCTGGCCAGCACAAGAGAAAGCAGAAGGATAGCTAGAGAATTGGGAGAATACAGATAATACCTTTCATGAATCCCAACTTCAGTATTGATAGAAGATGGCTGCGGTTATGTACAACATGCGTACCCCAGCCTTGCCAATACGACTGGACGTGACTAATGAACAAATCAAAGAGTACAACTCAAGTACAATTAGTACAAGTACATGAGACATAAGTGACACACATACGCTAACACTCCTCCAAGCGAATGGAGATTGATCATTCCCAGCTTGCTCATCAAAGAAGGGCCACTAAGTAAGGTCAGACCTATTGTAGTGATCTTTCTTCTTTCTATGATATTAGAACATGATCTTTGAGATCTTTGATCCCAATTTACTTCTCGAAGGTGGCACTTGCGTCTTCTAAGTGACTTCTCCGATTGCTTATTCAGGACATGAAGCGAAGACCAATAGGGAGAGGCAGTCAATCGATGGCCCTGCTCGCTCTCCCTCTCCCTTTGGTCGAGCGGGCCCCTACCGGTCGAGCTGCTTTCCTCTCTGGAGAGCCACTTTCGTTCCTCTACCGTATCCATTGATGGGATTTCTTCTCGACTGGCGTATTACGCACTCGGGCCAATCTACTACACGCTAATAATGGTCTTTTGGATTTCATCTCCTACCAAAATTTCAAGTGGTTGGCCGTTCGATCGAGTCCATCCCTTAAAGTCGTACCCTCCCAGGATGCGTGAGTCTTCCGCCGATGCAGGCCGATTGGGATCCCAGCAGTCAAACCACTGCATTCCCAATAGCATCGGCTTGGAATTGAGGGTGACAAGGGAAAGAACCATCTACATAACTAAGAAGGTCATAGGTTATAAGCACTGGTTTGAATTGGAACTTCTAAAGAAGTGGTGGAGTCCAGTTTTAGTGAAAGGACGATTTGTTAGATTGATGCCCATTAACGTCTTGGGCGATATATGAGCCATTAAGCAAATGACTCTTATATATCACACTGAACATTGACTCAATATTTATAAGTTAATGTTCTTCTTAGACTTCCTCTTCTTCTTCAATAGTCATCTTGTTCTCTTAGACCAAACGGTGACCGGCTTTCTTTTGGAGCAGGAGACGGTGCCGGAATGTTTTGAATGTTAGGAGGGAAGTCCATCGCTTTTGTTCTGAAACATCCTGAAGCTGAGCGCATTAATAGATAGGCTTAGCCAACTCATCGCTTCACTCCCAAGAAAACATTTTCTAATGCTAGAGCAGCAGGTATAGTTCTAGTGGATTGGGTTCAATATCGCAGATCCCATCCCAAACTAATCTTAGATTATGCTTTATAGATTGATGGTGCAGAGCGAAAGCATAGCCTCCATGGCAAGTGCATTGATCGAGACAACAACAAACTATCATGGAACTCTCCTTAATCTTTCTTCTCTAAAAATGGTAGAGCCACAGGTCAGTAGAGCAGGTGTATCGTTTTCATAGCAGGTTCATTGCAGGCATAGCAGTTGTATGGCTTTTATAGCTGCTTTCTATATAATATCGTATAGGAGGAGAACGTTTTCTAGCTATAGAGCAGTTATATGACTTTCATAGCGTTTAGTAGTTGTAGGGATAGGTAGCTACAAGTAGTGCTGGAAGAGAAAACTACCAAAAAGAGAAGCAGTATACGCAAGGTCTAAGCCTTACATAGTTGTCTTTGTCTCCTTGGTACCCCTCCCTCTTATTCTTCCTCTGTAATAGCTGCCTCGTTAGCGAAGAGTCTTCCAAGCCCGGAGCGCGCATTAAGTTTTAGCAGTTTTTTCGAGCTGCGGCAGAAAAATAAGCAACGAGCGTAGTCATCTGCCCGGTAGCAAAGACCAGGGAAAGCACCTAAACGGAAAAAACGTCTGCTTCATAAGATCATAGGTGCTCGCATTCTCATCAATCATCTGTCGAAACATACTATGGATCGGGATAAAACCACTCGTGTTGACCAGCCCGCAGTCAGCAAAGGATTTCCCCAGAGGGGCCCAGGAGAAAGAAAGAAAACCGTACGTGCACAGACAGACTCGTTAACATACGACATTAGTTCAGTTCAAAGTGGAGTGAGCATCAAATTCAAATCAAAGGAGACCGGACGACGGATGACACCTTCCTTCTCTAGACCGTGTCTCTGATGAAGCAATCCGAACCGACAAGCGAAGCGTCCTTCCTTTCTCAATGACCGGACACCGAGATCCATGTTCTACCTTCCCATGCTGAATCCGCTATCGCCGTCTTTCCCTCACAAGCTGTTGTCCCAGGAGCAATCGGGTGGAGAACATTCTTCCTACCCGTGTGAAAACCGATGAATGGCATTTTCTTTAGTGAATGGCCATCCAACTTCGATCCAGGTCTACTCCCCTACCGAGAAAAGTCGTCAATCCTACTCTCAGTGGTTAGCCAGGCCTTTCTTTCCTGGTCTCGATATGCTTCGATTTCTCTATGGATCGGCATTCTTTTTGGAAGTTTTCAGTCTTCTCTGTAGTCATTCCTGTGCTCTTCCCGAAAAAGACCCGAAAGGAGGCTTTTTGCATGTTAGCGCCTCTCTCTAGTGCCCATTGATCAAAGTCCTAAGCTTGGGAAAGATTCCCACTTCGTTGTCTTTCTCTTTCTTTGAAGCTAGAAAGATGCAGTGCTTCAAAGAGGGTTTGTCTCACAAGAGACTAGCACCCTTTATCAACCTAATCAGCTTGCATCTAGGATTCAGACTAGCCCACAATCTCAAAGCAATTCCTCCTATCAGAGTCAACCCATGTCACAAACCAATCCCTTTCATCAAAGGAAAGACCTTCAAGAGTTCAGCACTACCAGACTACGGCCTCTACTCAGACAGGTCTACAGGCGAATTCGCAGTTTCAGCAGCAAGAAGTCCAGCAGACTGAGCTTCAACCCAGGAACTGAGAATGAACCCGACACAGAGGATTCCCGTGAACCAACGAAGAGTGGCGAGATGCTATTCTTATTCTTTGAGTTCACGAAAATGATACGGAGAAGAGTAGTGACAAGTCTTGCGCCTTCCCTTCCGCTTACACCCATTTAGTCAACCAGGACAGACACATCCTTTCCAATCTTATTTCAAAAAAGGAGTGATTCATCCTCCCCACCGAGCATATCCATGAACCTCCACTTTTAGGGAAGGTAGGAGATCCAGTTAACGAATAGGCTGCGGCTGTAGCTGCAACGAGTAATGAATTTATCGGATGCTCTTTCTTAATCTGATAGAAAGTGGTTCCTTATTCTCAGCACCTATCAAAGTAATTTAATCCCTGTGTACTCGTCATCGAAGCAGCACCCTTTTAGAATTTTCCGAGAGTAGAAATCGATCCAATGTGGATTGGCGACTCATTATCAGCCCGACCGGCAAAAACCTTTATGTCTATAGGGGCTCTGTTCCGCACACATATCTGTCCGGATGCTGTGATCGGATTGGAAGAGAATCAGGCCTTGCTTGATAAGGGGATTGCGGACTTTTTAGCCGGTTCCTTGCACTTGGTTTGGAAGTTTAATAGTTCTGTGAACAAGCTTAGGGTCTTACGAATTGATAGTTAAGATACCAAAAACACACTAATGGATTCAATTCGAGCCGGTTAAGATACCAAAAACACTTGGGCATCTTTTTCTCAAATAGCGAGACACCTTGCCATCTCCATAGTGATTCTATTCTTTCTCTCACTCACTCCATTTTGTTAAGGAGAGTAAGTGACGGTAAGTTATTGTTCAATTCCGGCTTGACACAAAACCTGTCAAATTTAGGCGATGTATATTCAATTCCATTATTTGATCTTATCACCTTGATCTTTGCAATTTGCTTGATTTTCCACCAAAGCCTTGAAATTCTAAAACACACCATCCACTTCGACTTTTGCTTCATAAAGTAAACCCGACACATCCTTGTATAATCATCTATGAACAAGATGAAGTATCTGTTTCCATTCGGAGAGGTTGTCTTCATTGGTCCATACACATCGGTATGGATCAATTGCAACCTTTCGAAGCTCTATAGGCCTTGTTAACAGGATATGGCAATCTCGCTTTGCTTCCCAAATTGACAGACTTGACATACATTTTGTTCATCACTAATGAGCTGGTAGGCCATGAGCTAAGTCTTTTTGATGCACGTGGTTGAGTGCAACATAATGTCTTTCTTTCAATCCAAATAAGAGAAACGAAAGAAACCACTCAAAAAGAAAAGTTAGATAAAGAAGTTTCAGTAAGAACTAGCACTATACTTATTCCCCCCTTTTTACTTTTCCTCTCTCTCTTTGTGCTTCCACCCGGGCTTTTCATTCTGTTTTATAGAGAGACCCAAGGAAATTAAAAAAGAAATTTTTGTAGAAAGGTGAGGCACTTTACCCGGCATACGAAAAAAATCCAGGATGACGGCTTTCAAAAGACGAGTAAGGACGGGGAGGCTCTCGAAACCAAACGAGACTAGAAGGAACATGGGAACTAGCACCATTCCTATAAGTGCTTTTGTCTCGAAGAGCCAACAAAGGGGCAGCCCTCTCTCTCTATCTTGGTCTCGGTTTAGCATCATCATATATCGATCTGGAGAAAATTTGGATTGGTTGTAGTGTGGATTAAAGAGCAGTTCCTCCATGCTGTGGAGGTGGAAAAAAATCCCTTGGGGGAAGTATCCCCATTTTTTGACGGGCCTGCCGAATCCTGAAAAATGGGTTCTTGGGAAAGCGTGGTGGGGGAGGTGCGAAGCCTGATAGAGGCAGAAGCCGGGCCACCGGAGCTATCTAGTCGAGTGTGTCGATTGAAAGAGGAGGGGAGACAACTCAAATGCCAGCGAAAAAATAGAAGGAGTCGTGCCGTTCAAAGTTGAATTCTTCTAAGATCCATTGCTCGATTTTGCATGCTCTGCTCCCAAAATGCATAGAGACTTGCGAGGGCAGATCCGGGTTGGTTCAAAAAGTCATGATGAGAGAAGCAGGCTAAGTTAAATATAATAATATACTGGTGCTACTATAGAATCTTATGAATCGCGCGCGGCACACTTTCTATATCTCCTCTGTCTACAAGGTGAACAGCTTAGCTTACAGCACAGCGTGTTCGCCACCACACTGGCTGGCTGGTGCATTGGCTTTACCGTAAGAGGGCCGAGAGGTATGACCCTTCGATTAGAACGCCCCATATCTCGAGCGTGGCATTTCCTTTTATAAAGTCCGTATAACTTCTAACCAAAAGATTGATTCTTTATGAATCAAGTACCATTCAAAGAGTGCATTGCCTAAGAAGATAAGGGCTTTGTATAGACACCCTTGAGCCATGTTATGTTCGTCGCCCTTGGCTCACCATTATTTCATTCTATTTATTTATGGGTTCTAGCTCCAAAGAACATATACATAGAGCTATGCCGACTTACGTACGTCTAGTTGACACCAAACGATTAGGTATACCACGCCACGTATCGTCCCCTCTTTCCATAGAGGAGAGAGAAAAGATATAGTGATCGTGCCGTAAGACCTTGTTCGTTTCTACTTGACTTCCTCGGTTTTTTTATTTTACATTAAATTACATAAGGTGCTAGCTTA